AGCAGCACAGGCCTGTGGGACACACGTGGGTCACACATCAGCGCTGTGCCCCCAGGAAGGAAAGGAGCGCCCCCAGCCCGCAGCAAAAAGAAGCACAAACCTCTGGGATGCCCCTGCACTGAGCCCCATTGCCAGCCCAGCTCACGGGGGGGCACACTGCAATGGTTTTGCAGGAAGCTCCTGCAGTGCTGGGGTAGCTGGGAGAGATGGACAACAGGAGGCACCGAGCTGCAATTAAAGCCACGCTGTTAATTCCCAGCCCACCCCGTGTTCATTCCCCAATTTGAGGGAGCTGCTTGCAAATCCCTGCTGGATGTGCAGGCATGCCAAGGGATGGGCTGGGCTCCCTCAGCATCCCCAGGGGAGACGTTGTCCCTACAAGAACCCTTGCAAAGTTGCAAAGCAGCTCCTCCCGGATCTCACCCCTCCATCACAGCCTTGCATAACGCTTTCAATGCAAAAGAACCGGGCTCAAGCTCACAACCAGGAACAACTTCCCAGCTGCACAAAGGCAAAGAGCTCCCCGAGCTGCCGGGCTCCACGCTGCGGCGTCGCTCACAGCCTGCGTGCCGCCCTGCTTTTGGCCCCTCCTTTCTCCTTCAGCTTCCGCACAGACACTCCGGATTTCATCACTCATTCCGTTCCGAGCAGGATGACAGCCAGCGCAGTGCCACAGCCCCCAGCGCTGAGCAGAAGCCGCGTGGTTTGGGGATCTGAAGGCTGCATTTCCTGGTGTTCGGCTCCTCTTTACGCACCTTAAGCCACGAAGGATGGAGCCGCACCTCCTGCTTGGTTGTGCTGCTCTATGCCTTTCCACAAATGCATTGAGCTGCTGGGGCTGGAATGCTTTTCCTTGTAAATAAAGCATGCAGAAAATGGGGTTTGACCGGGCAGTGCCCATGGAGCGGGGTGGGGTACAGCAGGGCAGTTGGGGCATGGCGTGCCCATGGGGGGCTCCTGTGCCCGAGCAGCAGGGTTTGGAGCACTCAGCACCCAAAGCACCGTTCCCATTAAGTCACAGCACTCCACACTGCTGTTAAACCCAATGGGAATTGAGGTGCAAAAACCATGGGGATCCAGAGCTGCTCCCCCCCCTCCTTCACCCTCTCCCAGCCCGGAGAAGATAACAGCGCAGAGAAACCCTTGGAGCTGGGCACTGCTTTCAGCTGGGGCTGCTGCACTGCATCCCGCTCTGGGGTGATTTCCCTACTATCAAAGCTTGGAAAACACTCAGGCAACCACGGCCGCTTTGTGCCCCACAGCCCTGAGCTGTCACCCCCAGCCCCGCTGCGCTGCCAGGTGGTTTTGCTGCAGGCAGGGGTAGGAGGGAAGGGGAGCACGGAGCAGTTGGAAAGGATTTCTGCAAGGTTACAAAAGGCACGGCGTGGTTTGGAAAGGAAACAAAGCACCGAACAAAGCTTCCTCCTCACCGGCGGAGAAAGCAAAACTAAAACGTTGCTCCCCAGTCAGGGTGCAGGGAGACTCTGCTGTTAGATGGCATTGGAACCATCCGTGGGGTTGGGGGGCACTGCGCCCGCTGCCAGGCCTGCGGCAAACACAAGGTCGTGGGGAGAGAAAGGGATGCCCACTGCTGCCATGGGATGGAGGGGGGGTTTGTATGGGGTGTGCGGGGGATCAGCATGGGGATGCACCGGGGGGCTGCCCCGAGAGGACGGGGGTGCAGGTGGGGCGCTTGGGGGTCTCAACGGGGTGGTTGTGGGGCTGCATTGGGGAACCTGGGAAGCTGCATTGGGGTGCTCATGGTTTGTAAGTGGGATGCTCAGGGGGTCGCACGGGGGTTCCAATGGGGTTGCAATTGGGTTCTCAAGGGGTTGCAGTGGGGCACTCGGTCACAATGGGGCGCTCGGAGGGTCACAGTGGGGTTGCAGCTACGGCTCTCAGGCAATCCCGATGGGGTGCTCACAGGGCTGCTATCAATCAGGGGTCTCAGGGGTCACAGCGGGGGGCTCAGGGGGTGCAGCCGAGATGCTGACAGCACCCACTCCATGCACACCCTAAGGGTCCCTCCCGGGGGTCTCCCACCCCGCTGCTCTCCCCACACCACCCCCCATCTCCCCTCCCCTCCCAGCCCCCAGCCCCTACCCATCTTCATCAGGCAGGCCAGCAGGATCCAGAGCGAGATCTCGAAGGGGATGCGGACGTGCGAATAATCGATGCCCAGCACGGGGAAAGCTTTGCGGGGTTTGGAATGCCCATCGCTCGAGTGGTTGTGATGCTGTTTGTTCAGCGGGTGAACCTCCTGGGCCGTGGCGGGGGGGGCGGCGGTGATACCCCCGAGTTCTCCCCACGGTTGCTCCCCGGAAACACGCGTGGCGTTGGCCTGTAAACCTTGGCCGGGAAGCAGCTGGCCCAGCAACAGCAATAGAGCCCAAGGAAGGGCTCGGAGGGCCGCGGCCCCCATGGCGGAGGGAGCCGGGGCCGCCCCGCAGAGACGCCGCGAGGAGATGGGACGGCGGCGGAGCGTCCGTACATCCCGGGGCGGCCGGGGGGGGGGGGGGGGGCCGCGGGGAGGAGGCGGAGGCGGAACGCCGAGCGTCGGGAGGGAACGGGGGGGGGAGCGGTGGGGTGGGGCGGGGGCAGAGCCAGGCGGGGCGGGGTGAAACGGGGGGCATCGGGAACGGGGGGTGAATGGGGGGGCGGCTTTAAAGGGGGGCGATGAAAAGCGGGGTGCGACTGCGTGCGGTGCGGTGGGGATGGGGGTGGAAAGAAGGGTACGGATTTAAGGAGGGGGTACGGGGTGGAAGGATAAAGGGGGGGGCTGGAAAGTAGGGGGTAACTGCAACGGGGTGCGGTGCGATGGGAGGTGAGGGTGGGATGCAAAGCGGGGTGCAATGCAAAGCGGGGCACAACTTTAAGGAGGGGTGCAAGGACGGAGAGGGGGCTGGAAAGCAGCGTGCAGCTGCAAGGGGTGCAGTGCAAATGGGAGGTGAGGAGGTGCAAAGCAGGGTGCAGCTGCACAATGGTGTGCTGTGAAGTGGGGTGCAGCTGCTATACAGCTTTAAGGAGGGGGTTAGGGGTGAAAGGACAAAGGGGGGTGTGCTGGAAAGCAGCGTGCAGCTGCAGAGTGCAGTGGAAACGGGGGGCAAGGGGGGTGATGTGGGGTAGGGTGTGCTGAAATGCAGTGTGCAACTGCAAGGGGTGCAATGGGAATGGGAGGTGAGGGGAGCAATGCAGTGCGGGGTGCAGATGCAAAATGGTGTGAAGTGGGGTGCAGCTGTGAAGTGGGGTGTGCTGAACTGCAGCGTGCAGCTGCAAAGGGTGCAATGGGAGGTGAGGGGTGCAGTGCAAAGTGGGGTATTACTTTAAGGAGGGGGTAAGGGGTGCAAAGACAAATGGGGGTGCTGAAAAGCAGCATGCAACTGCAGTGAGTGCAATGGGAATGGGAGGTGAGGGGGGGATGCAAAGCAGGGTGCAGAGCAAAGCAGGGTACAGCTTTAAGGAGAGGTTAAGGGGCGAAAGGACAAACGGGGGGCTGCTCAAAAGCAGGGTGTAACTGCAAGGGGTGCAGTGGGAAAGAGAGGTGAGGAGCGTGGTGCAAAATGGAGCGCAGTGCAGAGCAGAGTGCAACTGCAAAGCGAGGTGCAGTCTGTAAAGAGGAGAGTGAGGGGTGCAGGAGCACGGCGGGAGGTGCTGAAAAGCAAGGTGCAACTGCAAATGGGGGCTGAGGGTTGCACTGCAAAGCAGGGCTGCACAGGGGTGACATGCAGTGCAAAGCTGGGTGCAGCTGCAGAGGGGTGCAGAGGTGCAGTGAAAGCTGGGGGTGGGGGGCTGCATTTGACCCAGAGCAAAAAGTTATGGTGAAACAGTGCAAGGACAGGGAAGTACAAACGTTTCACTAGAAGCCTGCTCTAATGTTAGAACAACAGAAAAAAGAAGCAAGGATGTTCTCTAGCCTGAGCTATGCGTAATTAGTGATAAGCTCTCCTGGGTGGAGATCTGACATGATAATGAGCAACCACCTGAGGTTAATGAGCTGGCACCGAGCTCGCGCACGCGTGTTGCTGAGGAGTTAAGTAACAGAAAGAGAGGCAGTGGATGATCCCATGCCTGCCTAGGCTGGCACCCAGCTCTGGGCGTGCTCTTGCTTTGAGAACTGTTGCCTGGCACCCAACTCTGCAAAGACCTGAAATAAAAGTTAACCGGTGCACTTCAGCTCGGTCTGCTCGTGGGTTTTAGGGCACTGGGTGTGCAAGCAGCCCTCGCTGTGGGACGTGGAGAGTGCAGCAGCGGGGTGGGGTTCAGCTGAAAGGTGTGCAGAGGAGAGGTGTGCCATGCTGTAAGCATCAGAGGGAAGTGGGGCGCAAGGTGCTGGGGCGCAGAGCAAAGGGGATGTATGTGGAGGCTGTGCTGGGTGCGAGGGCCCAAAGGGCTTGAATGCAAGGTGCAAAAAGAAGGGGGAGAAAGGGGTCTGGGCGCAGGCCCAGTGGGTGCTGCTGCTGGAAGGGTGCAGCAGGGTGTTACAGCACGACACCATGCCCTGCAGCATGGGGCTGCAGACACTGCAGAGAGAGAATGCGTGGCTCTGCAGAGCACTGGGAGAGCGCAGCAGCTGCTCAGAGGGGAACGGGGCAGAGGGGTACGCAAAGCTGCTGCCAGCGGGGACAGGACTGGTGGGCATTGGCTGCTATTCTGGGCCAGCAGGCTGCTGTAACCCCATCTGCGCTTGCTGTGCCCTTCGTCCCAGTCAGCAGCGTAGTCTGAGTCACCAGGAAATCTGAGAAGGTTCTACTAAAAGCCCAGGCGTAGCACGGGGGGTTGCTGAGCCCTGCCAGCCTGATTTCTTGGCTCTGTTGTGCTCTTCCTGAGCGTCACTGCTGTGACTGGAACTCACAGGGCTGGCGGGAGATTTGAGCTGATTTAACAGCAAAACAGGCAACGAGCCTTGTGTGAGAGATGCGCTCCCTGACCCTCGGGGACATTTGGTGTGGGAAACACGCGGGTTGTTGGCATGGCAGCTGAAACTCCAGAGCTTTGGCAGGTTGCTCCTGCTGCTTTACATCAGCGATGTTCCCGTTGATGGCATCAGTTCCCAAACTGCTCGGGGACGGCTGCAGGAAACGCCGACGTTTGTCCTCTGGCAGAGCTGGGCAGGAAGTGTTGCTGGTGGAAATAATCAGCGTGAGCCCTCTGTTAACGGGAATCACCAGCTAGGTGCGTCAATTCCTTTCTTCCAGGTCTCGGCAGTCAAATTAATCTGTTTTACCAATTAAGTGCGAAATCCAGAATGTTCTTCGTTTCGAGAGAGCTTCTTTATATCTGGGTGAGAGGCCTGGCCGAGATGGCAGCCGTTCATCTGGAGCAGGACTGCAGCAGGAGCTCGCGCACAACCGCACGCTTGTTCAGGAGCAAACACTGGCCCTGGTTCTCTTCCACAAACAGGGAAGAGAAGCAAAAACTGGTACAGTGTCGCCTTGAAATAACAGGGTCGGATTCTTCCACCTCCTCACGCCTGGGCTGAGCAGCACTCGTGGTGGGTTGGCACCAACTGTCCGGCACACGGCTGTTATGTGATGCAGCATCAAACTGACTGCTCGCTACTTTGGCTGCACTGTGCAGACAGAGGCCTTTCAATTCTCTGCACACCCCGGGAATGATTGAAATTGGTGCAAATTTGTGACAAAGAGGAAAGATGTTCCTGCTTCTCCCCCATCGGGACGCAGAGACCTGGAGATTCAATCTGTTTTCCAGAGTAAATCGGCCAACGCTGCAGTGCTGTGCTGTTGGCAAACGTCCACATATCCAAATATCCACCAGCCTTGGTGGGGTTTTTTTTCAGCTCGTGTGCTATGGGAGCAGCCCACTTACCTGCAGTTTTATGGCCCGGCTGAGATGCTCTCTGCGAGTTGTGGAACTTGCTTAAGAGAGCATAATGAGGCTTAAGCTGCTTAGCCTGCAAAAGGAGAGCAATGCAGCTGCATGAGAGGGCAGACAGAGCTTTAAAAGTGTCCAATCAAGCAAATTATATAAGTTATAATACACCAGAGCTTGTTGTATCTCAGAGAGCAAAATCACACCCTGTGGATACAGCTGCCTCCATATCTAACATCATAATTGTCTTCCCTGGAAAGACAAACGTCCCTGGAAATGCATTCCCCTCCTTCCTCCAAGCAGCCGTGCAATGGGCCCTGCTTGCTCTGACCCCACCTCCTCCAGGCTATGGAAGCACTCCTTCACAACCCAGCACACCCAACACAGGACCCAGCACATGCCTGCAGTTGTGCTGACACACAAGTCACGCAGAATTCAGTGCTCTTATAGATAGAGCTCTGCTGTTCCGTCGTACCTTTGATCTGAATATTTCCCAGCAGACATTAATCATCAAAAGTAAACATCGCTTATGCTGTGCAGGGAGGTAAAGCCAGGCGGGCGCACAAGAAGAAGGAAAGTGTTTGCTGTAGGTTTTCACAAAGAAACCAGGAAAACAAACCTTGCTGGCTGAAGGCCACACGGGCTACAAAGCAGCTTTTACACATTAATAGTCTATTTCTCCATTAGACCCTTTCTTTCTCATCTGTGTATTTATTTGATGAAGACTAACTCAGCACCACCAGCTCCGTGTTTGCACTTTGTTCCCTCATCCCCTCTTCCAACTCACACGTGGCTGAGCAAAATGGATGAGCATCAGGCTTTCCCTGCCACGTGATTTTCTTTTTCCTCTGATCTGTCAGCAAAGGGAAGTGGGAAATAAAGGATGCATGCCATTACATTTCATTTCAGCTGCTCTATTTGAGCCACTTCCACCTGCAAACAAATCCTGGTCCAGCTCCAGCTGCTCAGATGTCTGCAGCACATCGTGCAGCTTCTCTCTCACAGAGCAAGGCTGCTGTCTGTGAGCCTGCACACGTGTGCTCTGACTCCTTCACTGCGGCATGCGGTGCAAGCTGAACTTTGTCATTATTTTTTAAAGTTTTATATATATATATATAAGCACACTGAACTTTTCTGTGTAAACTGAGAGCAGAATGGGAGCTCTGTATTTATAGCCAGCATTAAGCAGTGCCTCCTATCTGACTTAAACTTCTTTCCCTTCTGTGCTGTAGGCAGAACAAGCGCAGTGCGCAGGCAGTTTTACCCCTTGCTCTCTTCAGGCTGAAAATCCAGCAGCCCTGTGCCATGAGGTCGCTCTCTGAGGTGTTTATGCGGCTCTGGGAGCACAGTGCCTTGTTTACATTCCCCACAGTGCTTCCAGTTCCCTCTGTGGCTGCAGTGAGCTCCTTAGACTGCCGTGCAGGAGCAGCAGCTCCCCTCAGCTCCCTTCCATTTCAGTTATCTCTGTCACCAGCTCCGGAAAAAAAAAAAACCAACAACGAAGCCTCCTCTGCCCCAATTTCCTCTCCACTTCCATGTCAAGGGCATCTGCAGCCTGCCTGGTTTGCGTGGAGCTCCAGGTCCCCGTGAGGATGGCATCTGAGAAAAGAAGATAAAGCCCTGCCGTAGGGTGGTGGAATGGACACCAATCGTTATTTGTTTAATTAAAAGAGTCTGGACAGACGCAAAGGCAACAATTAATTATCTTCTGTAAGAACTCTGACCACAGCTAAAGAAATTAATGGCTTGTGAGATGGAGGCAAATCATTGAGGCTAAGGGTCGATCTGTCGTTCACACGGCGAGGCGTGCAGGGAATTCCTCCATCCTCCCCCTGATGTAAAAGGGCCCTTTTGTGCCATTCACACAACGGGGGAGCAGGGACTCACTTCTGGGGTTACCCACGGGCTGCAAAATCAGATTCTAAACGAAAAGCTTTGCGAACAGAGCTCACGGCGTTGGGCTGCGAAATGAACCCGGCACGCCTGCGATGCTTTGCAGCCCGCCGCCAGGCGCTGCCATTCCATGCAGGTTGAGCTGCAGCCTTTTGCCAACACTGCCACCCCCTGGCTCTTCATACGTATCCACGTTTTTCCCTCCCGGCGCCGCTGCGGGAGCTGCACTCAGCGCTCGCGGCCGGTGGGACGGGCTGGGATTGCAGCAGGGCTTGCGCAGCTCGCACGCCGCCATGCCCTTCCTGCCGGTGGCTCCGCCGTGACTACGACTCCCGGCAGCCCTTGCGCGGCACCCCGCTCCCGCCCCTCCCCTCCCCTCGCCGATTGGCCGATCCCTCCCGAAGCGCTCTCCCCTTTCCCGTTGGCTTGGCGAGCTGTCAATCACGGGGGGCGGTGTCGCTCGGGAGGGTAGTCCGGGGGAAGTATTCCCGAATTCGACTTACGCCGTTTGCGTGGCGCCGCGATCGCTGCCGGTGCCCGGGAGGCGGTGGCGCAGTTAGCGTGGCGCATGCGCGGTACCGCGCGGGGCGAGCGGCTGCGGGGGGTGCTGCTGAGCCCCGGACAGCTGAGGGGGTAAACAGGGCACGGGCCGGGGGGGGCACGGCCGGGGCTGTCCTTCAGGGCCCTCCCCGAGCCCGGAGCGCAGCGCTCGGAACCTGCGGGGCCCGTCGGGCCGCCCCTTAGCGTTCGGCCCCGCTCAGCGGGGGATGGAGCCTCACCACAACTTGCAGCGCCCGCTAGGCCCGCGGCCGGGAGGCCTGACAGGTAACGGCCCGGCCCCGCCCCCCCCCCCCCCGCCTTTATCCGCCCCCCCTCCCCCCCCCCCGCTCCCCTCCTGTCACGGCCCCCCCGTATCGCTCTGTGCTGTCAGCAGCCCCTCCCCCGCCAGGCCCCGCTCCTGCCCTCAGCCCCCGGTTCCTGGCCTGCACCCGTCCCCCACCCGCCCCCCTCTGACCCACAGCCCTGTGCTCCCCCCCCTCCCTCCTAGGAGCATTACGGCGTTGCCCCTCCGCTTCTGCCTTCACCTCTCCCTCCCCGAGGCGGAAAGTTTCTGCTCGCCCGCTGCTCTGCTCCCCGAAGGGCTGCCCTGCCCTTCCTGCTGCCCTGCCCCATCTCTGTAGCGCCGGCAGGAGGGAGGGCGCAGGGCTGCCGTCGATCTGCCCACCCTGCGGTGCAGCTCAAAGTTTGCCTGATGCCGCTCTCCGCTCCTGGTCCGTCGGGTCTCATCTCTTACCTGCGCTGCTCTGCAAGCTGCCCGTCTCCTGTTGGCTCTGTGTGCAGTGCCTGGGGAGCGACCGCTGCTCCCGGCAGCACCTTCAGCTGGAGCAAAACCTTCCTTTTACTCGTTGTCTGCTGCCGCCTCCTCTCCTTCCCCTAGGTTTGTTAATAAATCTGTATGCGTATGTTCTGATTTGACCCATGGCCTCTCGGGAGGTCAAGGTATAAAGGAAGTAAGTTGTGAGTCTAAAGAAGCCCTCTGGGTCGTGGGATTGGGCTCCAAGTGGTGTTTGGATGAGTGAAGTAATTTAGAGATGCTAAAGGGGAGGGTCATAGGGATCTTCCTTTGGGATGAATCACGGATCCGCAAAGCCTCGTCGTGCACAAAGTGCTGCTTTTTTTGATGACCTTGAGCGTGAAGACTGAAAAACTTGGGCTCATCCAAACAGTCAGGAAGCAGATTGCTCCTTAAGCTTGGTGGAGATGCTGTGTCGCTGCTGATTTCGGAAGGGCAGCGGGTCGTGTGGTTTGGATTTGGAAGCGTAAGTTGTCTGTGTCGCTGCGTTGCTGCAGGTGTGAGCGAGGTAGGGCTGTGTGGGGGGCGCTGTGAAACGAAAATGCATTCAAGCAAAAGAACAGACCCCCAAATTCTGGCTGCATTGGGACCGTTCAGTAGTAGAAGAGCTGAATTGTTTGCATTGTGAATGCTGGCACTTCGTTCCTAGACTCTGAGCAAGTGTCTCAGGAAGATGAGAAGAGCTGGGGAAAGTGAGAGAATCTGGTAAAATCTGGTAACCCTCCCCTCCCAGCACCTCTTTGGAAGAGCACTTTTCCAGGAGCTTAAAGGGCTCTGAAGTTGCTGTCAGTGTAAATACAGCCCAGCAGATCTCGGGACCACAGCCTGCAGAAATCTGGGGCTTGTTAATTTTTGACTGCAGATTTTAAAGGCCAAGTGTTGCGAAAGTTTTGGGGTGGGTTTTTTGTTTTGTTTTTCTTTTTGTCCCCTGGAACTTTGCGTGGCCGGAGCAGGAGAGGCAGACGAGTGGACTGCAGCTCAACACAGGTGGGACGAACCTCCTTATGTTTGGGAAAAGGCTGTTGGGTGGACGAGGTGGCAGCTGTACGTGGGGTGTCCCAGTCGAGTTTGGCACAGTGAGGGTGAGGGAAGGCTGCCTCTGGTTTGGGACTGGAGGACCAGAAGAGAGACACAGAGGCGCCCTTGAAAGGTGGTGGTGAAACGTGCTGCAGCAGTCGTGTGATGCAGGAGCAGTAAAGGTTGTGGTGATCTGTGAGGCGCAGGAAGGTGAAGCTGCTTGTGTGATCATCACTGATAGCGACAGCACAGGTTTATCCTCAGTTGTTCCTTGTCGTTGGACCTTGATCCCTTCTGTTCATGAGTCGTGATGGTTGTTTTTAATGATCAAATGCTAGAAAGCTCATGTTGGGGCATCCCACTGTGTTAGATGCACTTGGCCAGTGCCTGGCTTTGGTAAGAGCATGTTTAAAGTCAGTTTTGCGTTGGTTATGTTACTTAAAACTCTGTCTTATTCCACTTTGTCAACCAGAGGGCTGATTTCATCCCTGACTCTGTTGACCTTTACCTTTGAAGAACTAAAGTTGAGATGTGTTGATCTCATGTAGCGACCCGCTGAGCGCTGCTGGGATGCTCCAGAGCACAGCTGTAATCCTGGCTGGGAGAGAGGTCAAACTGCAGAGCGCTGCTGTGCTCTGACAGAGGAGCTGTGCTTCAGGATTGTGGAGCGGGCGCAGTGTTGGAGCTGCTGGAGAGAAGGGAATCTGTCTCAAGGGGCAGAGGGTTTGGGGGTGTGCTGATGCTTCCTCTGCTCGTACAAAGAATAGACAGGCACTGTGCTGATGGTTTTGCTGTAGCCTCTTCAGCAGCAAATGGGCTCCTTGGTGTGGGCTCTGTGTGTGTCTTGCTTTGCTGCGTGCATCCTTCGGGTCACCTGCTGAGCTTTCATGGAGGATATGTTGAATAGAAAGGAGGTGCTTAGAAGCTGGCATGACTAGAGCTAAGAGATCTGCTAAAAGGGCTCCCAGGGCTGTGGAAAGTGTTTGTCACTGGGGAGGTGACTGCCTGCTTTGCTCCTTGGTCTGCTGGGTGTCCGAAGATCCGTAGAAAACTGAGCTGTGCTTTAAGAGGAGGGGCTGCCCAGACTGCCTGCTCTGATTTCGTAGCTCTGAGATGGGTGGAAAGCTTCCAGCGAGGTTGGGACACTGGGATCTACTGGAATATTGTCCCTCCCATCTCTTTATGCTGCGCTTCGTGCTGCTGATGGATCGTTCCCCTGTCTGGAAAGAATTCTCTCGCTGTCATCAGGCCCTGCTCACAGATTCCTGCAGGAGAGCGCTGTGGAAGCGCAGCGTGTGATTGCTGTGTGAGGAGGAGGAGGGGAGCTGAGGTGTGAGACATGGGGCATTGCGTGGCAGGTAGCCCTGCCCTGCGCTGCAGAGGGGCGGCAGGTCGTGCCCTGTTGTGTGTATGCAGAGGAAGCCCTGCACAGGGTTGGTGTGAGGCTGGTTGGTGGGGATCCAGGCTGGGAGGAGGGCGGGCGGAGGCCTGCTGGGGAGATGGCTGGGGGGAACAGGGGTGGGGGGTTGCAGGTAGCGCTCATCCCTGCAGCCTGCCTGGGTGCGGAGCTGCTTTTTGTGTTGGCGGTCCTCTTCTGCTTGCAGAACTTAGCAGGAGAGGCTCTGGAAACCAGGTTACGTTCTGCTGGCAGTGCCCAGCAGCACGGCTTGTTCAGCATGGCTGGGATGGTTGTGGCAAGCTGGCCATGAGAATCTGCTGGGCTGTCCTGGTTTCCCATTTAACCTCTGTGCTGCCCTGCAGACCGTGCTCCTGGTTCTGCCTTGGCTTGGGCTGCATGAGAGAGGGAGCCCTGCTTGTTTGCTGCTGCTTTTGTCCCCTTGTAGACTTGATCTCCACGAACAGGCAGAACAAAACCAATTCTAAGCCTGCATGGCAAGCTTGAGAGCAGGTATCAAAATCTGACAGCTCAGTCATCCCACTACAAGGATCGGTGTGAAATATTGATGAGGAAATGCACTCACAGTGGTGCCTCTTGCTATTAAGCCCGTGAGTGGAGCAACCATTACTTAACACAGGAGTGAATGATGCTGAGGATGCTCAGAACGTGAGGCCTCTTCCTGTGTGTGTGTGCCAGCCTTGCTGCTGCTGCTTCTGGAGTATGAGAAGCGTGGATTAAACACACGTGTGATGGCAGGTTGGACAGACACGTGGCTGCTGGTGGTCGGGGGCAGTTCCAGGCTGTGTGCTGGGTTCCTGGGAGCCCTGGTTCAATGCCCCTCACTCAGCAGGTGCTGGCATTCAGCAGAAGCTCAGCTCGTTGCAGCAGTATGCAATGGGGCTTCATGCAGCCACGAGAGCTGCTCACCAGCCTGCAAACAGCTCTGCTTCTTCCAACGTCGTGTTTGAGAGCTGCCAGTGAGAAGATCTGGCCCATGCTGTGCTCCTGTGCCATTCCTCTGCTGTCTGTGGGTTCAGTGATGCTCCTGCAGGGTCACAGGGCTGTTTGTCACCATGAAATGGTCTCATTTCAGTGAATCAGCATTTCCTTGTTCAAGAGCATTTTTGGCTTGTTCTGCTTGCCAGTGCTCGCTGAAAGGGGGTTCGGAACCCTTGGCTTATGTAGGGCAAAACGGGGTGGGAGCCTTGAATTTCTCCCAGCAACACCATTTAAAAAGATCCCCCTTTTTCTGTTGCTGGTGTGATGGGGTGTTCTGGTGGTTGTGTCACCTGATGATGAGCTGTTAGGGCTTCTGAGGAGCGCTTGTGTTTGATTATTTTAACAGAATAGTTACTGTGATGGAATAGGGCAAATGAGAGAGGGGAGGTTGCCAGAAATGTCAGTGCTTTGTGTGTCTGTGGTGTAATGAGAGGAGTGAAATCGGACAGAAGCGGGAGAGGCTGTGGAGCAGCACTGGTGTGGACACGCAGGGTGGCTTTTCTAGGCTGGAGTTGTGCTTGCAGTCCAGAGAGGGGGCTCCTGAATTGGCTGTTCCTCAGCCCTGTGTTGCTCCTCCCCATCCTTGAGTTTCTCCTACAGCCTGCGTTCAGTTCTTGGCCATTGCTGGCTTGAGGGAGGGCAAGGAAGCGCCTGATGCTGTCTGTTGTT